AAAACACACACAAAAAAGAAAAGAAACAATATTCATAAGAATCTGTATTTTTTTTTTATTAAAATAGAAAATTACATTTATTGTATAATAAACAATTATGCTCAACATGATCAACATGGTAATATAACAAGTGTCATATTGTTACTTAGTGTGAACAGATACCTTAAGAGGGGGTCCTCGTTAATTGCAATAACATAATAAGGGACAATTACAAGTATGGTGTTGATCATGCGTTACACATATGGATTATAAATGATTGTATACATGTATATCCGTTGCTATTAATAACCACGATCATAAAGAAATAACAAGTAATATTCTAATTTCTAGCATGCCGATCAAAGTTATAAATAATGAACAATGTCTTTCGTCCGTTCATTCAAAAGTGATATACAATTCTGGTAAAACCCAATGAACCATTGAAAAGTTTATAAGAATATCTTGTCATCATATATCTACTAGTTCATCTGCACCTGCTGTTTGGACGCCCTTTGATGCTTTGCATCAATGCTTTTCTTGTACCATATTTGAATCAGGTATTTAGATGTTACCAGTTAATATTATGAAGTACCGCTGTCATTGGATATTATTTAGCGTCTTGATAAGTTATGGCACATATACATAAACAAATGTACTAACAGTACTTGGAGTATTTTCTTCTCTTGTACAACTATATAAGTTTTACAGGTTTAATTTTCATGTCTAAATGTTTAACTCTGCATATGCCGGTGCTAGGGGGCTTGCATAGTAGCTTACATTTTTGATTACCGTCTACGAGCAGAATCAATCAAACATTTCATTTTTGCCGGTTTTGGTGTTCTTTAGGGATTCCGTTTTCCTCAGCTGATTCTACTTGAAAGCTAAAAATAAGAATAAGCAAGACAAAGTTACTGATATATTAGAAATAATTTTGCAATATGTTAATATAAATTAGTTCTCCATGAATCAGATCAAGTCATATGTATATCTATCCTGTACGAAATTTAAATTACAAAGCAAATTGAACAACAACAGCGGCAGCAACAAACAGAATTTTTCTAAAACTATTGTAATTTACAATAGAATTTAATCATGATAATTTAATCACAACAGTTTTTGTTTAGTTGAAAAATGAAAGAAGAAATGAAACAATTAAGCTGCCAGGGTGGTTATTCCACTTCCGCTGTTAATCCCGCTGTCACATAAGACAATAACGTCTGTCACATGAGGTAGTATAAGATCTAGACACGATATTTCGTAGTTGACAAATTGAAGGAAAACTCTACTCCCTATGAAGAACATATTAGACAGTTATTTATTTAAAATTATATACGCTAGTAAAGCTAACAATTTCTTTAGCTTCCGATGTAATATACCTTTGATTTATACTCTTATTCTACATATTTAATCCTAAATATCTTTATTATAATAAAAAACAAGACAGTAATCAGGCATCCTTATAAGTTAAGCCAATGTATGGATAATTCCATCCTATTTATCTAATTATTGTTTTTTTATTGTTTCATAAAATTAATAGATAAAGTACATGTTTAACTCAAGGTCTATGATATTCTCTCATCTTTGTTTTAATTAGATTAGTCAGTAAATGATCCTGTCTGACTCATTCCACAGGAAAAAAATAACAAAAACGTCTAGAGAAATAAAAACTTTGTTACAACATTAACATAATAAGCATACACAAACAGAACATATATCACCCCCCCCCCCAAAAAAAAACAAAAAAAAAAAAACAAAAACAAAAAAACAAAAAAAACAACTTTTGTTAGAATATGTGAATAAGTTTTGGACACTTAAATAACATCATTTTATTAAAGTATTGTTGTGTATTTTTTATAAATATCCTATAAATATATTGCATTAATTTCGTATTATGTTTGAATAAGAAACGAAATCAGTCAATGTATTAAACAGTTGTGTATTTTGATTACCTTAAAATCATAACAAAATATTATACAATTGCACATTTTGGTTTTGATATATTTTACAGAAAAGTGGAGATTTACAGAGCTGTTTATTTAAGGTCTGCGTCCCCTAAACAAAATCTTTAAAATCATAGTCTTTAACTTAAATTCCATTTACATCAAGTTTTTTTCTTCCATCTTTGCTAAAATATTATTTACCCTTAAAGTTAGGGAATGGTCCCTTCTCATACCAGTGCTGTTCCAGTGAAAAAGCGGTGATATTTCATTTAGAAGCCTTGGTAAACAAGACATTGATTTTGATGCTTATGAATTGATTATCCCTATCAACATCGACTTAAGACTCTTGTAAAGAAGCTATCCAAATAGCTTACAAATGGTTGGTTATTGATTTTAAGAAACATTTTCAAATAAATGATATTTAATTTTTTAAAAGATACAAAAATGAGATAATTCAGCTTTTAAGTTGAAAGGATATCTACTTTGACAGTAACTTTAACTGTTGAAGTAACAACCCTCTTTTTAATAAAATATGATAATAACATGAGGATGTTTGTGGCCTAGTGGTTAAGGTCTATATCTTTACTGTCAAAACACAGAGCTCATGAGTTTGAGACCAACTATGACCTAAACCATGTTACCTCTCATAACACCAAACATGGGTACCTCAAGTATTAAGCATAAGGGTTAATACCTTGGATAGTGGCTTACTATTATGCTCTTAAATAAGTGTGTGAAGATTCAACTTTTCCCCCTTTAGTAGGTTTCTAGATACTGATTTGTAGATAAAAAGATTAATCAAAGTGTGATGCAGAAGACTGGATGAATTTAATAATCTCTTCCTTTCCTTGTACAGCCAAGGTTATAAATCAATAAATTATGCCTTAGCACCATGCTGATTTTTTTAAATGGACTTGTCCAGCTCCCATTTTAAGACCTGTCTATTATCAATTTTGGGGATATCAAGGTTGATCAACCAACTTTTAATTCATTTCTTGTAATTTGATTAAGATATGAAAATTTAATTTCTGAAATTAGCTTGTCTATTCTAATTAATGTCAAACTATAAATAAACATTAAATCAAAGTTTAAAAGAATAATGATAAATGAGCTGGAATATGTAAGGTTTGCTTCCCGATCTTTTCATCAATGGAACAACCCTATACAAAACCATATGCTATGCCATTGTCAAATTAATCATAAAGGGGTATAGGGATGGGCTTTATCCAGCTGCACTTAGAAGCTGTAAAAACTATATGTTGGTTTATCAGTTAGGCTATAGATCATACAAAACAATGATATTATCAAAATTATTAACCCATTGTTACAACTGATGCATATAGGGAAATGCCTATCACCGTTCAGCTGAATGTAAATAACAATCACTTAAAAGTCTGTGCTACGACCGTTTGACCTTTTATCATAATTCATTATCTCATGTGACTGCATTATCCTAATTCTACATTATAACTGTCCATTGTAAAGAATGAATGTAAAAAACCAAACTAGAAAATGTAATAGGTTTATTATACGAGTATGTTTTATCCAGTACATATTTCTATTTTGACTCTAGTTGATTTAACAAGGCTAGGGTCTGACGAGGCGTGGTAGTGACAGGTGTAACTGGTTCCAGTAAAATCCATGTGTTCCAAATACAAGTAATAGATCAAGATAGTAAACCTTTTGTCATATACATTGTCAAATTTAAAATATATATTCAACTACAATATCAATGGCATTATGACAGCAATACCATTAGAGAACATACTCGAGTGTTATACAGCTTTTTTCTGTTGGGGCGTTTGTATGCATGTCATACATGCATTAAATATAGGATCGTATAAACAGGTATATATATATGATTGTTATAAATAAACCTGTTCATAGCAGGTGCTTAAGGCTATATTAAGTCAAGAAAATATTACTCTTTCTTTTTTTTTAAAATTTAACAAAAATCTGCAAATATGCTGCTTTAACTGTACTGCAAAATTATTTTTATTCATGGAGAATTTATTTTTGTCTATTTCGTAGAAAGGTCAATCTACTAATTTAACAGTCAACATAAAGTTATTACATCTTAAGAACTATTATCAATACATTCACGTTATTGTATTACGTTATTTGCATTTTACTTTTTTCTCATAAAACAAGACATCCACAAATTTAATACATCCAACAAAATGCGCCGTTTGACAACAGCATGCACATTATCATGCCTCGAATTGCACAGCAACTATACGTAAAAACATTTTGTCTATTTGCCTAAGGTTTTTTTTCTTTACTGAAAAATGCACAAAGATATACACTGACCTACATTTTGTTTCCACACATCATCTCATGTCTATCATAAATCTTCCCTCACCTGAATTACATTTTCCTCAAAATTACCTTCCTGATAGTAACCGTACAATTGGTTAGAAATACCTCCTGTAAAAATCTGCGGATGAAAATACAGTGGTTAATAATCAAATGATGGTATTAACTGTTAATTTTCCTTTTTTGGTTGGGATTTACGTCATGCAGACGCTGTAATTTTTCAGTTTAACTGGTGAATGAAGACCTCATGTGGCATTCGTTGTTATAAATAAACACAGTTTAACCAATAAAACTTCTCATTATATTGAATTGTATAAAACAATGTCGAGTTTAAAGAAGAGAGAGCACTGATATGATAAAACTATCAATTGAGAAAGTTTATACCCAAGTTTTTGAAAAATAGCTTTAAAAAAACACAAACTTTTATCATTGTTTTCATCATATCATCATTTCCATGCAAAAAGCATGTATTACATCCTCTGGTTGACAGTTTTGGCAAGGATGTAATATATTTTAAAATTTGAATACTATTTATTGAAAAAAATAATAAAAAAACACATTATTTTTGGGTATTGTGTTTCATTTTAGGCAAATAAAGAAATACTGACAGAATTGTCAGTGTCTTGTTTTACATGTCGCTTGAAAAATTCTGTTCATATGACAATACAATTATATACTTTTTAGATCACTTCCTGGTCCAAATATTTCACAATAAAACGCACATGTTTGAGACGTTAATATTTATAAAGTTGGACAACAGAGTCTATGCATTAAAAAGCAAATCGGAACAATATTTTAATGTAGTGAATACATTGTGAGAGATATGACATGTTTTGATTACTACATTCATGACCGTAACTTTATCTCTATAAAGGTTAAACTATTTGGGGTAAATTTATTCTTAAATGAAGATAGGACAGATTTTAGTTATATTGTTGAGAAAGCAGTGAAAAAGATGATTGAAATATTAGCGTCGGAATAAAAAATTAATTGCAAAGAATTATTTTCAAATTACTTTGAAATTACTGTAAAATTAAATAAGGACAAGCTATATCTATATTTAGAGGTAGTATAGATCAACTGAGTTAACAGGTTTCAATAAGATTATCAAAAAAATGGCTACAGGTGGAAAAATAAATACGGATATTCTTTTTGATGAAATATTTGTTGTATTATGTTCAATGTGTAAAAAAAATAAAGGTAAAAACATTGAAGGTAAAAAATTCTGTGTAGACTGCAACGATTATTTCTGTATAAAATGTGTAAAAGTTCACAATCAAGTGCCTGTATTAGCTGGTCACAAAGTGTTGGATAAATCTCAAGTAAAGTCAGGAACCAGTAAAGGTCTGGTGAGGGCACCGGCAGAGAGATGTGACAGACACAGTCATAAACACATTGATATGTACTGTCAGAACCATGATTATGTCGGCTGTTCTACATGTATGGCAATTGATCATAGGTAACATTTCATTTAATTTATTTACTTCAATCATTCTTTAATCCATTGAGTCGGCCTGCATAGTGTTTTTCCATCAATTGATCATTAACCAATAAACTGAAGGTCAGTCGATTTTTAAATTTCAAAAAGAAAATCACTAAAATGCCATTTTGCCAGGTAATGGAAATAAGTCATTATTTCAGATAGATAGAGGTTAATATATTAATCTTTTAGTCAGGTAGAGGCCAATATACTAATCACTCTGATGCAAACTAAATGTTTACATGTTTAACGTTAAAACTTAATAAGTTAATAAGATAAATTATTTATTTTTAAAACATGTTGTTATAGTAAATAACCAATTCTTCTACTTTCAGAGGCTTTTACAAACTGATTTGTTTCCTAAACAGTCTTAATTCCTTTTTCCAGATCATGTAAGGATATATTCTACATACCAGAATTTATCCAAAACAAATCTTATCACGTAGCTTCAAGAGAAATTCAAACAAAGCTGAAGGCATTAACCAAGATTCTTGCTGTACAAGCTAACACATTTCAACAGGATAAACAGAACCTTCTGAAAAGAAAGGCTGAGTTACTGGACGATATCAGAAAATTCCGGCAAGAAATTAATGACCAACTTGACAAGCTGGAGAAAATTTCTGTAGATGAGATTGAAAATAAATTCAAACTTCTTGAAGGCAAGATTGAAGAAGGTCTTAAACAGCTACAAGCACACAAAGCAAAGGTTACATCAGCTTATGATAAATTAGCATCTACAAACCCAAATCAAGCTGAAGTGTTTGTTCATGTGAAGATGGGGGAAAACACTGAAAATGTTGCCAACAAATTTATAGAAGATACCAAAATAAAGATTACAGTAAGTGACATACAGTTGCAACCTGACAGAAATCTCCTTCAACAGCTGAAACAAAACAAAACAATCGGCATGCTAACAGCGAAAACTATGAAGACTGATGATCTACTTCAGATTACAGAAGGACAATCATACTGTGTCAAAGTTAAGTCTGATGACTATAATTGTCATATCACCAGTGCTTGCTATATGGAAAATGGTAAAATAATCCTAGCTGATTTCAACAACATGAAGCTTAAACAGTTTGATTGTCACAATTATATAATTACAGATTGCTATAAATTACCTGGAAAGTCCTGGCAAATATGTAAAATTAACGAAACACAAGTAGCAGTAACATTTAACTCCATACAGGAAATTCATTTGATTTCTGTAGACAGAAAAATGGAAACAATAGACAAGATTAAAATTGATTTTGACTGTCGTGGTCTTGCATATGCAAACAATCATTTATATTTTTCAGATGAAACATCGGTCTATATCTACACTATGACTGGCAGGAAACTTAAACAGTTTAGTACTGACCGGTCAGAAAAGAAACTCTTCACTTCTATACGCAGTATAGCTGTCAGTAAGGATGCTACAAGGATTTATGCTGCTGATGCTAATAAAAGACTGATAGTACTAGACAGCAATGGTCAGATTGTAAGAACATTTAATGGTAAACAATTACAATTGTCTATATATTGTCATTTCACTGAAGAAGGTAGTGTGCTGGTATGTGGATATACCCCTAATAATGTTTTACAGTTTACATCTGATGGTCAGCTGATAGGAGAAGTCATAAAAGCTGACATGGGAAAACCAAGAATTTGGTCAGTTTGTTGTAATCAACAAATGTCTAAGATGTGTATTAGTAGAGATGATGAAAACAATATTGAAGTGTATGATATCTGATCAGTTATGAAAATGAATACAACCAAGCACATAATAATGATTATTGTAACAAAAATAATGAAAGAATGAATGTAAAAAATGTGTAACAAAAAAGACAGAAAACATAATATGTATGTATATAAGAAATGGTCATACAGAGATTCTTTGTCTTCAAAAAAGTTACATGTACTACATAGAAAGTTAAAATGTGCTCATGTTTGCAATGAAGAATTTTTTGAATAAAAGTTGTATTCAAATCATATCATTTTCTTTCATGTGCTGTATTTCTTATACCAAGTATATGTTAATAGTTTCTTAATATCATTGTTGTATGTTATTAATAAAGTTGCTAGTATTTTTTTACAAATGCTGTCATAGATTGAAGACCTTCTGAAATTTACAAAAAATATAAATCTAAAAGAAATGATACACAAAGCATTTACATTACAGACCACATTCTCCAAAATAAACATAGTTTTTTTTATTCAATTGATCTGTTGGGTTTATAATTTATAATGATACACTGCAAAGAATTTAACCAAGTCCAAAAAATTTTACTGTAGGAAGAAGACATCTGTCACAGTAGAACCACATGCCATGCATGAAAGTAAAATGCCGTTCTCAAATTAATGAAAAATTAAATTTTCTTACAAAGGTTTAAACCCTAGTGTTTACAGTCAAGTAGTATTACTATTTTACTTTAAAAAATACCGAATCACTTTGCTAACTGCCAAATATAAGGAAGCAATAGCAAAGGATAGTTGTAGATGAGAAATAAGTCAGTGTGTATTTTTTTTAAACTAAACAATGTCCTCAAGACAGTTTTTGAGAAATAAAAACATCTCTTAGGCATTATGGACCTTTGATTTCACGATCACAATGGCAACTCTAAGCTAAATCAAATACATGTTTTATGATTTGATGAGGCTAGTTTATTCAGAGAGGAATAAAAAATTTAAAAAATCATTGTGTACAAATATTGATGCAATATGATTATATCAAATTATTCAGTTTTGTAAAAAAAGTTTAAATGGCAGGTAAATCAAAAAATATGAAAAACAAGATCAACAAGGAAAGGCAGCGTTCAATGAACGCAACCCCCATATGACCAAGCAACAAGAACCAATGGTAAGGAGCCCAGGCGGACCCCAAACATAAAAAGGACAGGGCAAAGACACGTTAATCATTAAATGATAAATAATTTGTAACTGATTAGGAATTCAAAGAAAATAATAATAGGCCCACAAAGGGGAAGGGGACAGGAGACCGGGAAAACGGGGGGGGGGTCAATCAAAGAAATAAAAACTAGAGGCAATGGGGAAGATACTTACCGTAGACGAGAAAACAACAAGGGACACAAGCAAAAGTGTCACCAAAACAGTATGAAACAACATAGACATACATCTGAGGAACACAGTGGGGCGCCGCCTTGGAACGGTCAGCAGCATAATAATAAATGCTGGGGAGTTTAAACCGGTTAATGGTGCACCAAACCTCGCTCTAAGCCCCACCATGTTCCTATAAACGAGACAGTGTAAAAAAATGAATCCCCGCCAAGTGAAATTCTAACAGTTGTCATGGTTACAAAAGGTTAAATAAGTAAAACACTAAAATGATCATGTAGAAACATATAAAAGTAAACCCAATGACCATAACAAAAGTACTCAATGTCCTAAAGGAAGACAGAGCAACAAAAAAATCACCTACAAGGGCCCGACGAAGCAAGGCAGAAGACGAACATTAAGACAATTCAGTCCCAAAGGGCTTTAGGAACTATCCATCCATCATAGAGTCTCCCACTTGGTCCGTCAGATGCAATCAAAAGAGGAAAGCGTAGTGTCCAACTGTAAAAGGGTTGAACACTAAACATGCAGTATGTCTTAAAATAGTAGGGTCATAACATCTTTTAATAAAACGTTTAATAATTTTAGTAAAAACAGCAGAAAAATTACCATGACCCAAAATCTTACGAAGTTTGTAAACCACATCGCCATAAAAACCAGGCTGGCTAATCCCTTGTCGCAGAAGAATTTAAATCACTATTGAATTTAGAAATTAAATCAAAGTTACGATTGTAAAATTTAGTAAAATATTTCCGTAATTTATGATAGCGGTAGCCCTGTTTTAGAAGCTTGCTGGTAATAAAAATATTCCGCTCGTTGAAATCCTTTACGTTGTTACAAGCTCTAGCGAATCTAAATAACTGAGAAACATAAACCCCGTAGGATGTTGCATGGGGTACGTCTCCATCCAAATGTGGATAATTAACTATACAAAAGTCAAAGTCATCTCTTTTATCATAAGTTTTCGTGTGAATAGAATTGTTGTTGATAGTAATATGAAGATCCAAAAATGATGTACTAAAATTTCAAGAGTTCGTTTTATTAAGTTGTAGTTCATGCGGATAAATGTCAGACACCATTTGATCAAAATAGGTATTATCTAAATTAAAAATATCATCAAGGTATCTGGAAGTATTATTAAATGCGACTATAACATCTTGTTGTTTCTCTTCAGAGAGACTCAACATAAAGTCTCTTTCATAGCAGTATAAAAACAAATCGGCGACCAGGGGTGCACAATTAGTACCCATAGGAATTCCTATGATCTGTTTAAATAGGGTATTACCAAACCTGACATAAGTGTTGTCTAAAAGAAAAGAGAGTGCTCTACAAACTTCGTCACAGGTCCACATAGTATAATGTTTAACCATACCGTTAGTAAAAAAAGCTTTGTTCGAATTACATGCTAGAAAGGTAACTTTTTCCCGTGCAAAAGTTTTCTGAATTAGGGAAATTAGTTTATCATTGATTAATTTATGTGGCAAAGTTGTATAAAGTGTAGAAAAATCGTATGTACTGACAGTTGAAGCTTGAAAGTTATTAATTTTGAATTTATCCAAGATTTCACCAGAATTTTTAATTGACCAAAAGAGATGTTTGCCTGTGTTTTCATAGACTTTATCACAATATCTAATTATATGTGTTTTAATGGCAGTCAAACAAGACGTCAATGAAATAGAAAGTTTACTTGTAGTGCAAGATGTAGAATTAGCAATAAATCTGGCTTTGTAAGGTTTTTTATGTAATTAAGGAATCCAATACATAATAGGAAGTTTGAGTTCTTTTTCATTAATTTGGACTTTAAGATTGGAAATATTAGTAATATGATTGTTTACAATGTCTTTTTCGGAGGCAGAGGTTTTAGAATACGCATTAACGTCCTCAACTCTAAAAGTCCCGATTTTTTATTAGATCTTCTCCACTTTTAGCTTTTTCAAAGACGCCAATGTTTTCAGTATCTGTTTCATATACATGTTTATCAAGTCTATCAAGTCTAGGTAATGCTAACATGTCGAATATCTCGACTAGAGACAGAAGCAGATTTAAACACATTTCCAAATATAAATCTATGTCGGGGCTAGGTTTGATCCTAATGCCTTATTAAAGCCTTATTTCAATTATTTTTTGCACAGAAATATGTGCAAATATCAAAGCTTAGAGCATACGTATCTGAAGAGATGCAAACTCTCTTTCCAGTACAAGTCAATGCAACAAATATGATCTCTTTGAAATTCCATTTTTGACACCAGGTGTTAAAATAAGTCATTGATACATTTACACTGTAACACAATAAACATGCATGACATTTGCCTTTATTTGGCTTTATTTGTTCAACACATAATGACAAAATATTTGTAAGACCATGCCAAAGAGTTAGAAAGTCCCTAACACTGTACATATATTATGTATTATGTACATTATTATGCAAATAAGTATATCTTTTAAAATGTATAGTCTGTTTTTTCAAGGCTTATTTGTGTTTGAGTATGTTAATTTTGTATACAATAGTTAACAATTGATGTCATGTGACCTATGTAATTGTATATATTGTAAATATGTTGCCTCATGAACCAGTCTGGTCAACTGGCTTTGTGAAATAAAGATATATTATCATATAAGTGATAAAACTGAATGTTAAACTGACTACACTATGTCATTAGTCTTTTACTGTACATTTAGTAACCCTTTGTTAGATCAATGGTGAAGGGAGCAATCAACATTAGCATCAATTTTTCAGCTTTAAACAGAGTAAAATATTAACTATTGCAACAATATACTCATTTGTTTGACCGCAAGACCGACCGATTATTACATAAATGTCAGTCTTAAGGGCGACCATCGTTTATATAATAAAAAGCCCTGGTGCACAATTTTTGGGCTACTGCATAAAGTGGAAATACTGTATTCTCAGTTACTTCATTGATGAGAGATACATATGTACTCATTTTTTACCTTGTCTAAGATATCATTATATGCATTTAAAAAAGCTAGGCTCTGACCGGAGTTTGAGTCTCAAACCTTTCAACTATTATTTAGACTTGCCGATGTCATAAATGTGGTAACCCTTTATATAGGCTGTTGGGTGTGGCTTAGATTTGTAAGTTAGATGTGAATTGGGCAGCAGGTAGCATATTTGTTATCCCTACATGAATTTAACCTTACATAATATTGTATAAATAATATATATAATAATTATATAATAATAATTGTATAATATTGTATAAATTGATGTGCTCATGCAGGTATCTAAATTAAAATACAAACACTTGAAAGCGCATACCGGAGACAAAGGTTTATCAGTTTAAAAAAAATATTTAAACAAAAATAATACCCCTTCTATATATAAAAAACACTGTTTACTGGTTGAGCCACAGATCTAAAAACAAACTAGATATAAATAAACAAAAAATTTGTCATAATGAGAAAACGTATGCATTGTTGTTAAAGCAGTAATTTTGCTCCAAGTTACACCCTTAATCTCTGTTAAAGTGACAGCATGATCTGCAAAATTCCAACCTTTGATTTTAATGAGTTTGCCGCATCATTATTAAACAAGTCTGGTCGCACTGCTTTCAAAACACTCAGCACTTCATCGCAGCAATTATTTTCTTGAATTTTCACAGGATTAATATAAACTTTTATATAAACCGGCAACTTTGCCATATTGCTAATGATTAATGAATATGGACTTGTTACTTGAGATATTACTAACATTGACACCGTTGATGAAGGCAAAATACTCCTAAGAGATTGGTTGTACACGAATAAATTTATTCCCTTTAATTTTTCAATGTTCTAAATGTAAAATGTTATGGATTAAAAGTACATAAATAACAGAAATAGTTATGGATAATTATTAGAATTGTTTTCCATCATAACTGAAAAGGGATCGCCAGAATGTGTTCCACCCATTACTCAGACAATTTCCGTGGCTGTTGTTGAAATCGTAC